CATTTCTCTTCTCTTGGTTCCATTTCCTTCCGACTCCTATCCAGCCTCATCCTCATGTTCTCTCACTCGTGCGGACTCAGACTTGAGGGAGGATAGACTTAGAAGTTTGGTCCCTTTCCCAACATATATCAGGCAACCTTACAGAGGAAACACAAAAAGAGAAAACCAAGCAATCATTGCACACAGGCCGGTCATCTCCTCACCGGCCTTTTTCCCAAATGGTCTCTCCACTGTTACTATCGRCAGGGTTTCATCCCGTACCTCAAGCACATCTCAAYCGTCGCGAGCGTGGTACCCAGACACAAGCGGGGGGTYACCCTCACTTTTTGCCCAGAATACCCCATCCCGGCTTGCCGCTCGTGTACTCACCGTTAATCTCGGGAATCACCCCGCACACCTCGGTAGGGCCATTGGAGCCAGCCGTCCAGGCATTCACTTCCATCGGTCCGATAAGGAACAGCCTTTCCCAAACCAGGCTACATGAAACTACTAATCGCCTTCGAGGCTCCGTCTTTGCCCACATGTAGTGGTACTCCCTCCGCCAATCCACAGGCTAGGCCCCGCCTAAAGAGACGACCGCACCCTGCCCCGCAGATCATTGGGCCGAGACCCATCACCGCGCGAACAAGAATACGACCAATCACCCGGCGCGACAAACTCCCGTTAGACAGCTCAGTGGCCTGACCTCCACATACGGACAAACGACAGTCGTTAAAAGAGAACGAACTTTGGCAACCCGCACCGGCCGGTGCAGATCCCTCCTTTCCTTCCGAAAGGCAAGACTCTCAATATCGCATCATGCAATCACAAGTCCCAAGTGGGACACACATAACACAAGTGCCTTTCCCTTGGTGCACCCAGCGCGTCCTACCCATTACTCACATATATTTTCTCTCAGGACAGTGTGTGTCACTCACCCCTAACTTCCATACATAGTGCCTGGTTCCTTCTCGTGAGCATCTTCAAAGGTGAGCTAGTTTTTCTTGGAGTCTAGCAACTCCCTTTATTCCCTTTGTCTTTGCTTTTCTGTTTATTCAAAGGGCAGGATTGTTCCTTCTCGAGTACCCGTTTTGTTCATATGAGGTTCCTTCAAGCATTAAGTGCGGTGCAAGGAGCCCGCTGGGCTCCAAAGAAGAGAGAAGAAGGCACCTAGGTCGGTCTGATCGCTCCGCAGCGGGATTTTCATTGGAACCCGGACTAACCTGGAATCCCAACCGCCTGCCAGGTAACCGGAGCCCTTCTTTCACATGAAGAGGAAGGGTCGACCTGCGGCTTGCCCAAGACTTCCTCGGTCTGACGAACATCAGCCCAAAGGAAGGAGGACTAGAGTCACCTCCAAGGGAAATGGCTGATTGTGTGTGCAACATGCATGTTATTCCTCCAGACCTGGCTTTGCCAAGCGCCCAGCCCCCCTCAAATCTGCTTCACTCAAAGGATAGAGCATACACAAGTCCTCATTCCTTTTCTTCGGTTATGTACACGGTCATGCGTCAGGCACCCCCCTCGAGATCGTCAGGGTCAGTTTAACCCACTACCCAGCACCTCCACCATTTTTGAAGGGGCCGTACCCTAAAGGACTTTCGAGCCTGGGTCGACCCTGCTGCAGTCCCATTTGGCTCGACCCGCCCACGCTCACGCTCACGGCGTGGGTCGTTCGTCCCAGGGGCATCCCCACCTAGTGCTCTAAGATGGATGGGGATGGGCCTTTTGCGAGAGGGCTTTACATTGGGGGATGTAGCTCCGCTCTCGCGTCTAGATGGTGGCCTTTTAGGCACTAGTGGCGTTTGCTTCATTCTTTTACGTCTGACCAGGGAGTTTGTTGTAAAGYGAGGGCAAGGGGAGTTCGTTGAGAATTCATCTTCATTTCGTGTGTAGGCCAAGCGTCATCCATCCGTCCACACACCTTTTCACGAAGTCTAGTGGCTCAAGGTTGCCCCTTCGGCATCCTCGGGATGGGATGGTGTTSCSGGACCCCTAGCCGCTAYAATAWTTTTTTTTGCTTGAGCCGCTAGCGCYGTGCTCACCTAGCCATGACTGCCCTTAGTCTTTCCGGGCTTAACACCGCATACAGGAGAGTCATTCCATTCAGTCATCACACAAACCATGCCCCAACGTTTGCCAACCATCCAAGCATCCCACCCCTCAATCACTTCCCTCATTCACAGCTAGGCCAGGTCCAAATCCTTCCCTTCCCCAATTTWTCAWCCATGCTCGCGTCCCTCGCRGACCCAKTCCYGCTCAAAGTCATCCCRAWTMCTCWCCTGCACAAGACCACACAAAGAACCACCCAAGTACATCCCCCATCGGGGTCAACGCATCGCCCCTTCCCACAAGCCTAAGTTTTCATAGCTTCTTGGTWCCTTTCCGTGACCTTTCCTTTTTCCCACAGGCAAGCAACACATWCACCTTAGCCATGCARTTTGGGAAAATGGTTGAGTCAAACTGACCTTGTCACAAAAACAACACTCCTTTRCTTTYTCAGATASTTACAACAACCTTGTACTTTTTCCCTTCTTGGTGGCATAAGGGACGGGCAACCCTCCCCTTGCCCTCGCTTTCCACCAAGTGAGGATCCGATTCCTTTACCGTTCGTTCCCATGCAATATAACAGGTGAGGGTAGTGGTTAGTCATATGCCATAAAGGGGAAGGGTGAGGAGAGAGTTACGGCTCGGGGGGCCTTGAGGAAAGAATGGAGGGAAAGGAGAGAAAGAGGGGGTGGGTGAGAGGGAGAGAGAGCAAGAGAGAGAGAGAGAGAGAGAGAGAGAGAGAGAGAGAGAGAGAGAGAGAGACGACGGGACCCCACATCCTAATCGACCTCGATCCTTGACCTACCTTAACCGGCCCTACCCGAGATCCACGTACCCCGTTGTGACCCCTATGACTTCCGAGTGGGTGAGGGAGAAGATAAGGGAGGAAGGCGTGAGGTGGTCGGCTATGGTGGATGGGAGTAGGTGACGAAGGAGGAAGAAGGGTCGAGGTGGTTGGCTATGGTGGGCAGTGTAGGTRATGAAGGAAGAAGATGGGTTGAGGTGGCCGGCTATGGTGGACCGGTGTAGGTGGCGGAGGTGGAAGATGGGTTGACGTGGCCGGCTATGGTGGATGGATGTAGGTGGTGGAGGTGGAAGATGGGTTGGGGTGGTTGGCTATGGCGGACGGGTGTAGGTGATGGGGGTAGAAGAAGGGTTGGGGTGGTCGGCCATGGTGGACGGGTGCAGGTGATGGAGGTGGAAGATGGGGTGAGGTGGCCGGCTATGGTGGACGGGTGTAGGTGATGGAGGTGGAAGATGGGTTGAGGTGGCCGGCTATGGTGGACGGGTGTAGGTGGCGGAGGTGGAAGATGGCTTGGGGTGGCYGGCTATTGTGGACAGGTGTAGGYGATGGAGGTGGAAGATGGGTTGGGGTGGCCGGCTATGGTGGGCGGTGTAGGTGGTGGAGCAAGGAAGAAGGGTTGGGGTGGCCGGCTATGGTGGACCGGTGTAGGCGGCGGAGGYGGAAGATGGGTWRAGGTGGCTGGCTMTGGAGGRCGGTGTAGGTGGTGGASGAARARGATGGGTTGGGGTGGCCGGATATTRTGGACCGGTGTAGGCGGCGGAGGTGGAAGATGTGTTGAGGTGGCCGGCTATGTCGGACGGGTGTAGATGGTGGCGGTGGAAGATRGGTTGGGGTGGTTGGCTATGGCGGACGGGTGTAGGTGATGGAGGTAGAAGAAAGGTTGGGGTGGTCGGCTATGGTGGACGGGTATAGGTGATGGAGGTGGAAGARGGGTTGRAGYGRTCGGCTATGGTGGACGGGTRTAGGCGGTGGAGGTGGAGGATGGGTTGGGGTGGTTGGCTATGGCGGACGAGTGTAGGTGATGGAGGTAGAGGAAGAATTGGGGTGRTSGGCTATGGTGGACGGGTGTAGGTGATGGAGGTGGAAGATGCGGTGAGGTGGCCGGCTATGGTSGACGGGTGTAGGTYATGGAGGTGAAGAATGGGTTGAGGTGGCYGGTTTTGGTGGGCGGGTGTAGGTGATGGAGGTAGGWGAAGGGTTGGGGGTGCTCGGCTATGGTGGACGGGTGTAGGCGATGGAGGTGGAAGATGGGGTGAGGTGGCCGGCTATGGTGGACGGGTGTAGGTGGTGGAGGTGGAAGATGGGTTGAGGTGGCCGGCTTTGGTGGACGGGTGTAGGTGATGGAGGTGGAAAATGGGGTGAGGTGGCCGACTATGGTGGACGAGCGTAGGTGGTGGAGGTGGAAGATGGGTTGGGGCGGTTGGCTATGGCGGACGGGTGTAAGTGATGAAGGTGGAAGATGGGGTGAGGTGGCTGGCTATGGTGGACGGGTATAGGTGATGGAGGTTGAAGATGGGGTGAGGTGGCCGGCTATGGTGGACGGGTGTAGGTGATGGAGGTGGAGGATGGGTTGAGGTGGCCAGCTATGGTGGGCGGGTGTAGGTGATGGAGGTAGGAGAAGGGTTGGGGGTGCTCGGCTATGGTGGACGGGTGTAGGCGATGGAGGTGGATGATGGGTTGGGGTGGTTGGCTATAGAGAACGGGTGTAGATGATGGAGGTGGAAGAT